ACTCTCCTACACATAAATTAGCAAAATGGTTAGCTGACATTTCAAGTCCAATACGCAATGAATTATGTAAGTTTACTGCGAATGATACATTTGAACTTTTTGACTGTCTTGTAGATATGAACATAAAATATAGGAAAATGTATTCATTTGATGTTAATTCTTTGTTTACTAATGTACCATTGATTAAGCCTGTTGATATTCTTTGTGACTACATATCTCCTAGTTGTTTTTCATTTCCTTTTCCTTTAACTTATTTGAAAGATTTATTACTATTATGTGCTGATAATGTCCATTTCACGTTTGAAGGTGAACATTTTCGACAAGTGGATGGCGTTACTATAGGGAGTCCATTAGGACCATTGTTAGTGAACGTTTACATGTCTTATGTCAAGAACTTGTCACCTGATTCAATTTCTAAATTGCCCTTCTATAGGAGATATGTAGATGATATCATTTTGATATGTGACGATCATAAAGATGTGAGTCGTCTATTAGATAGACTTAACTCTGTACAGAGTCATATTAGTCTTATATGCGTGGAAGAAAGTCGCGACCAGCTTGCATTTTTAAACACACTTCTGAGTCGAAGAGATGATGGTTCAATAAGATGATCAATCTTCAGAAAACCCACTTAGACAGAGCAATACCTTATTTTCACAGTTTCTGTCCATCACAGTATAAGAGAGGCTTGGTGCAATGTCTATTTAAGAGGATTAAACGTATTTGCACGGCTGATGTTATAGCGAAAGAAAACGAAATTTTGATGGATAATCTTGTTGAAAACGGATATCCTTTAAAATTTTTGAACAGGTGTAGAAGTCAATTAGTCTACAAACCTACAATTTATACCGCCCCTAGGAAAAATGTTTTCATCAAATTACCATATAAAGGGGAACTAAACAGTAGGATTTTGAGGCAAAGGTTGAATTTGATCTTCCGTAGAACCTATGATGCAGTACAGCTTGTAATTGTCGAAAAAGCCAAAAATATGCTCCACTGCAAACCTCAAAAGTGCACAAGTGATTAAGTCACATCCCACACTATTTACCAATTTGTGTGTGTGTGTGTGTGTGGTCACATATACATAGGGAGGAGTAAACGCGCTTTGCATGTGAAGGTGGGAAAGCATATCCCAAAATGGTTAGAAAAACAAATGAATTGTGAAAAATCAATAAATGCAGGTGGCAGACTACCAACTTCGTCTCTAGCTAAACATCTAATCGAGATGAACCATAAGATTGATGTTAATGCAGCCTTTAAGGTCATCTACAAAACTAGTCAAGGGCGGTTACTGAGATACTCTGAGGCTATAGCTATTCATAAACTTAAGCAATCCCCTGTGTATTCAAAAACAGTTTATTATTACGCTTAACCTACCTTGGTAATCCTTATTTGATTGGATTACCAAACGTTGTGTTAATCATCCTTAAATCTTTTTTTTCGTCACTTTGTTTAATTTAACTTTTTCATATATATCGACTTGACAAGTAAATGTGTGATCAGATAGTTCGAAGAGTATATCGCAAATACATCACATTTTTCAAATAATCTCCATCTTCTAACAATGCTAACCAAATTATTGTAATCATCGTTATTACTGATGTTCAAAGTATTAAATATATTATTATTATTATCTGAGCCTCAAATTCAGCATCATTGTTTAAATTTCGTTTTATATATAAAGCTGTGTAAGTTAGCAAGTCTTTTGAATTTGCGTTTTGTAGTCAGCACTTGCAGTTTATGTAGAGTAGTGATTGGTTGAGTAACTAGGCAAATTTCCCTTAATAAGGGCGTGTTAAGTGTAGCTTATCAACAGCACTACTTCCAGTGTGGTGAGAGCTGTCTGCAAGACAAAACTGTAGACAACAATTGACGTCTCGAATCGGGTTCATGAGAAAAAACAAGAACAAAGCCTAGCCTTGAGAACTCAACAGCCAATCACAGCAGAGCAAATACGATTCGGAGATATATGGATAACTTTGTATGCAACGGTCACAAGCAGTACAGAATAACCTTCAGCAAAAACGACCAGTCAGAAGATGTTGCTTCTCTGCTAAAATAACGAATAATAATGTACTTAAAAATCTGTAAATATCTCTTGATTTTCTCAATAAACGATCTGTTGCCTGGCCCTTGTCTTCTGTCCTTACACCGTGTCTTACAGCATTCTGATTTCACACGCGAGTCAGAAGTAGTCTGCTGAAATTATTTATGGCTTTGTGCCTGAACACTAGTGCAAAGACCTACTTTCTGTTTGTTTTTATTATTTCTAATTATAGATTAATTTGGTGGATAGTTTCACAAAGTATTTCAAGAGATATACGCTTAATGGAGTTACAGTTGAAAAATCTTGATGAAAGTACTAAACGTTCGTTCACAAGCTAAATCTAAAATATTTTTATGATTAAGTAACAGACACATTAAAACCAGTCATCCAAGTAAACGAACTAGGATTTTAGCGAGTATTCAACAATTTCTACTGAACACTGATAAAAAGAATTTCAGCGAAGACACATCAGTGTACAACGGAATAACGGTATGTTTAATTCATCTATCCTACCCGTTCAAATTAAAAAAACAAAACAAAATATTTGAAGACACTAAATTCACCATGACGGAAGAAGGATTAGTCAACAAAATTCCTTTCTCACATATCTTAATGAAGAGAACTAACAAAGGAAATTTACAAACACAGGGAAACGGGAAGAAAATCAACTCACACACAAATCAAATACTGAACTATAACATCAACAATCCAATGGTCCACAAAAGAAACTTGATGCAGCCATTGTTTGAAATAGTCCAAGTAGACTCTTGCACTCTGGTGTTGAAGAGAATGGACAAAAAATGAATACCTACCACTAACTGTCTTCAAAATTCAATGAATACACACACAACTGATTTAATGGAAAACTGTTTAAACCCAAATCCTAATGCCAACACAACAGTAATACCACAAGGAAGTTCATTCTCCCATTTATAAAGAATACTTCTGAAATATTGGCCTAGAATACCGAGACTATTTAAAATAAACGTAGCACACGAGCCTACACAATCGCTTCATTCGATATTGCTCAGATTGGAAGATCCAACAACAAAACAAGATAAAATCAATAACACTTACAGCATAAACTGTTCAAAAGATGGTTCCAGAAAAAAATTTTCTTTCCGACAAAGTAATCAACTAGCCTGTACATTCGTGTTTTTATATTAAATGACTGTGAAAGTTCCAGAACTCTATTTTACGTCGGTCAGAGGTGTAATGAATAAAATTAAGAGTGTAATAAATAGGAAAGCTGAACATATTCATTCTTTATTTATTCATTGGGACTTGCCATTCATCAGCTAACAAGATCACACCCTGACGCCTGTACAAACTTTTGGGATTCACCTATACTTGTAGGGTTTTTGCAGTCAGTCTTTCTTTATACGAACTCAAATCGCTCTCTGTAGAACCTATTGGTTCTATCATCAGAGTTCCTCTCGTGCTCCATGTCCATCGATTTTATTGCTATGTTACGTATTCACTAAAAATCTGATGCATAAGTACACATGGTTTACAGACTTTAACAGCAAAAGTAGGCTAATATTTGTAAGTCTGTGGTCAAATCTTGATCACAGTTCATCCAATTTTGTTTACTTTTTGTTGATATCTCTTCATGATTGGAAAAGATTTTTTAAAGACAAGTTGTGTCCCTTTTATACATATATACGTATATACCTTAGTTTATTTTAATTTTGATTAATTTCGCTGAAGAAGTTCGGGCCAGCTTATCGAAGAACGAAACGTTGAAATTACTTATATTTCAATTTCGCTGAGATTTTGCAAATATAATCTTTGTGTATGTCTATTTCTCACTCAGGGCCCATTTATTTTGGAACTATTCTGTCAAACCTGGATAACAGTTCATGTAAAGCAGTAACAGTATATTTAAATTAGAATTTTTTTCACTGGAAATACTTATTTAAGTTATTATATGTGTGAATTTGAATATGATGTTTAACTAAATTCAACGTTTTCTCAACCTAATTTTCAGATTTAATAAGTAAACTTGTTTTTATTTGAAAATTGGAGGTGGCCTTGGACACCTAGACACTTGCTATCTGCCACTCACCAGTTAATAGATTGTATATGCAATCTTGAGATTTAAATCCACGTCACCCAGTGAGTTCTGTCTGTGGTCAGGTTGGCGATTAACCTCCTTATTCACATGACACTAGCGATGCTCACTACCTAATGTCTAATCAAAGTTAAATTGTGTTGTTGAAATTTATCGAAGGAAGGGGAACACTTTGTTTACATATTATGTTGGAATCGAAGGTAGTCACGTGGAGTGGATTTATGGCCTATCCATGAGCTAAGTGTAGAGTCATAGGCCGTTGCTATACTGGTGTGCATTAATGACAAGTTATATACTTTTGTTAATATGCTTTTTTAAGTGAAATCTAGCATAAAAAATTTTTTTCCGGTGTACATATTATCAGTGGCATTATATTCTTCTACTGTAATGCATTTGTTGCACACGTTTATCAGAAAATCTCGCCTCATACTAATATTCATGTTAGCAGTTTAATGGATAAAAGGAGTCAGTAGGTTCTAAAGTTGACAGCGTACGAATGAATTTTGATGAAATCACGCTGGTTTATTTATTTTGACCTATTTCGCTGAAACGCACTAATACTCACACAGCAGATGAAGCAGAGAGCGCCAATTCATTACACAAAGGTGAATATGCCATATCATTGCGGATTCATGTGAATACATTATTCAGTTGATTTTACACCCCGCCCCCGACAATCTTAAAACAGAACCGATCATCCGTATAACCGTTTTCGAAGAAATGACTTTAAACAAAACGCTAATTGTTGTCTAAGTATATTTTTAGATTCTAGTTATTTTCATGCATTCATTGTTCTTCTATATAAAGAAGCGTTTTCTCACATGACTCAATTCTAGATTTTATCAAATTCTGATTCAACTGGTTAAAAGCAAAAAGTTCAAGGCTCTGTAAAATTTATTTGAAAGAAAAGAAATGTACATCAGCAACTGTAGGATATACAACTGTTGCTGTCAGCATATACATGTAAGTGTATCTATTTGTGTAAAATATTAAATAACCTTTTGACACTTCAACATACGTTTCAAGGCTCGACGAAATTTCCGCGACATCGCATTGTATAATATCGGATTGACAGCTGAATTCAAATAGGCCATAATCCGTGAGAACATTCGGAACCATAAATCATGATATCCATTCAGGGAGAAACTGTTATACACCACCATGGAACGATACGGCAACCAAAATGAGGCGAATAAGACGACAATCGTCATTAGAAGTTTCACGACCTACAGAGAAGGAAGAAAGAGAAGAAGAAAAACAAATACATATATATTCCATCCATCCATCGGAAACGTGCATGACCTTGAGTAGTAATAATCGCTGACGTCAGTAGTAGTTCGCCTCATTAGGATTCCATATTGCATTTCCAATGTTTGAAAAGTTGCAGCATAAATGATAACGGAATGCCTGTTTGATTTGGTGTTCATTTTGCTCAGAGGAAACAAAAATTAGGAGTTTTAAGTCAAATACCCTGTACTAATCTTCCTTCCAACCTCATGTGGTAGGGTGTAATGTGGAAATGATAAACACGATAACACTGTGTTCGATATCAACCGATTTAGTAGGATTACAAGAGAATATCCTTCAAATTCTAAACAAGAAAGTGGGCTACACCGTGCATCAAATTAGATCATAGGGATTATTATTAAAAAGACGGTTACAATGAAGAAAATTTTCTTTTCCATGACGTAACCACCAACTAGATAGGTGTACATTCATGTATTTATGTGGTAAATGGATGAGAAAGTTCCCGAACTCTCCATGTCCGGTCGGTCAAGGGTGAAATCATTAGAAAGTGCAATAAACAGGAAGATCGGATAAAATACAGGCATAGTAGAAACTTGACTGTTTGTGCAATTCGGTATAGGACTAGCTTTTTATGATGGCTATGGTAGGGACAACAGTTGGACGTAATATCTTTTGAATTCATAACGTCGGCCCGAAATTTGGCATAGCTGATGCCTAATCAATCAAGTTTTTCACAAATTTTGATCTCTTCGCTGAATAGTATGTTCTTTAATATATTTCTGACTTTTTCATCATGCAGTAACATGAATGTCTGTGCCCGCGTATTTCACCATATTACTGCCTATAGTATAAGAAGGCATTAGTCATAGTTAGCAGTCTTTCTTATAACAGCGTATTTTGCATACCAGCGGCATTTTGCAATGATCTCATATTTACTTCAAATCAAACGTGGAGTGCGTTTTTTGCGTCAATGGCTCTGTGGTAGAATGCCCACGAACCACACATGCGGTACGCGGCTGAATCCCCGGCTAGTTCACTTTTATACCCATCTTGCTTAGCGAGTAGTAAGGGCGGTAAAGAGGAAGGGTTGAACCTAAAGTGGGCTAGCAACCTCATCCTATGAAGAATAAACACCACCGCTACTGAAACTTCAAAAACTCAAGCTTGAAGTCCCCTATGTTTCATTTGGAATGCATTAAAGATAACAAGTAATGTGAAATTCATTTTTAGCAGGAAGAGCTGAAATTTAACTTTTCACAGGCATAGGAATGGTAGTCGGTGGTCTGTTCAAAACAGCAGCTACCAAACAACTGCATCAGTATATTGCATGTAGTTTCACCTCTAAAAGTTTTGTTTACTTTGGCGAGTATTTAAAATGTCATCTACAAACAAGTGAAAGAGGCAAAGAAGAGATATTTTAGTGATGGGTTGATTTTGCACTTCACGTCACTTAGATAGAACTGTGTCACATGATAAACTGTCAGTCAATCAATCTTTTATTTAAATATTGTGAACGAAGAGAAATATGATCTTGTAAACTCTGGTTATAATTCCGTCTATTATGTTAACACTGTTCAGAATAAAGCCATTAATATAATTTTCTAAAAAATAAATTTTGATTCGCGAAATATACCCATTAAGACATTGAAATAAGAACAAAGTAGTTCAGCGAAGAGTCTCTTTTCGGCGAATTCATTCACTTAGCTGTACAGTCGCAAATATATATACAATTATTTTGTGTGTGTGTGTACATTAGGTTTGTCAAAGTCAAAATATCAGTTTGTGTGGGTCGTTGATTATATCATCAAAATAATGACGAAGTTAACATGTGTGATTAATAATCAAAGTTGTAACTAAGTGGGGTGAAGATTGGTAAGATGTGAGTAGGGTTACGTAATATAGACATGTTTAGAAAGATTAGATGCTAGTGAAGGAGTTTGGAGACAATTATGAAAATAAACTAGATAATAGGTGAAAAGATTGAATGGGTTAGTTACTAAAAATTATTATACGAAAAAATTGCAAAAAAAAATTTGATAACAAAATGTTGATGACAAATAAACTTGAAATTAAATCCACGGTAGTAGGACGGGGTGGAGAAGTTTCTTCTGTGTGCCGTGGGTTTAATTTCAAGTTTATTTGTCATCAACATTTTGTTATCAAATTTTTTTTTTTTACAATTTTTTCGTATAATAATTTTTAGTAACTAACCCATTCAATCTTTTCACCTATTATCTAGTTTATTTTCATAACTGTCTCCAAACTCCTTCACTAGCATCTAATCTTTCTAAACATGTCTATATTACGTAACCCTACTCACATCTTACCAATCTTCACCCCACTTAGTTACAACTTTGATTATTAATCACACATGTTAACTTCTTCATTATTTTGATGATGTAACTCTACTCACATCTTACCAGTCTTCACCCCACTTAGTTACAACTTTGATTATTAATCACACATGTTAACTTCTTCATTATTTTGATGATGTAACTCTACTCACATCTTACCAGTCTTCACCCCACTTAGTTACAACTTTGATTATTAATCACACATGTTAACTTCTTCATTATTTTGATGATGTAACTCTACTCACATCTTACCAGTCTTCACCCCACTTAGTTACAACTTTGATTATTAATCACACATGTTAACTTCTTCATTATCTTGATGATGTAACTCTACTCACATCTTACCAATCTTCACCCCACTTAGTTACAACTTTGATTATTAATCACACATGTTAACTTCGTCATTATTTTGATGATATAATCAACGACCCACACAAACTGATATTTTGACTTTGACAAACCTAATGTACACACACACACACAAAATAATTGTATATATATTTGCGACTGTACAGCTAAGTGAATGAATTCGCCGAAAAGAGACTCTTCGCTGAACTACTTTGTTCTTATTTCAAATAAATTTTGATTTAGACATTTTGCACTACTTAAACACTATGGTGAAAATCTGAATGCTATTTTGGTCCTCAATTCATGTGAATCTCCCATTTTATAATATATAAGTAAAGTAAACAAAATAATTACGAATTCGTCTTTCTCAATCTTGTGTTTACGAAAAAAGGTTCGTACCATCGCTAAAGCGAAGAATGTTGGCTGACGAAAACTGAATCATTCGGCGTATTATTTATTGACGTCTTACATGAACAATAAAAATTATCTGTTTTACGATACAGAAGGGAATAACAGAGAGCTAAAATTAGGACTGGCTTATTGATTTGTGAACCAAAATTTTATGATTATTATGATTATGATTACGTTGGTTTCCGAGTGGAATAAAGTGCTTCAACAGCTAATCTCCATTTTGTCTGGAATCCTGCAGCTGTCTTCAATTAGCTCCACGATTTTTCACAAGTCCGCTTCTCCTCCTCATCGAAACTTCACCTCACAACCGGACACATAGCCAACTCGTTGTTTCCTATTCGGGTTCCACTTGAACAATGGCCTGCATTCAGCGCGATATCACCCGAAGACTCCCTCAACATGTGTCAAATCTATCTCAGGTGATAGGCACTTGGCTGATTTGTTCTAAGAGTTTCATATCACTAATGATTTCTGGCTGACCATTTGATGTTCAATATTGAGCTGGTGAAGGCACTTGTTGGTGAATGTCTGCAGCCGCCTTTTGTGACGCGCTGCCCAAGATTCTGAACCATACAGAAGATCTGACTGACTTCACTTTGTTGTTGAATGGAATCCTAATCATGTTCTTTATGCTGAGGGGAGAAGAGATGTTTACACTGATTTCAGATTGATGCCAGGCTGAATGGCTTTCACATGTTCACCCGCTCCGACTAAGTTTAGTTTATAGGCTGCTGCCTAGCCAGATAAGTGAATGCAGGAGGTTACCTCTTTCAAATTTCTCCCACTGATGGTGATTGGCGCTGGTTGTTGTCGTTGTCGCTGTTTGGTTGGTTTGTTGACTTTGGCTTAACTTCGTCAATTATGTCCTCTCTGTATCCACAAGAAGTCCATTCCGAATAACCTTCATTCTTCTCCATTGGTTATGAGTTGTTTGTAGGTGCGCAGCAATGGGCAATTGTATTCTTACTTCCCTCCTTTCGAATTGAATATTGCTGTCCTCATCCTGGGTGAAATTGGTTCCCACTGCATTAGGGCTTCCCTTCACACTGCTGACATCATGATAGCCACTCACTGCTTCAGTGTGCTCATGGTTGTCATCCGGGTGACTGACTCTCTAGTTGACTATTCCGATAGTCTACATCCATTCCACATGCTTTCGCACATTCCTAGCACTTCCGACACGTATTTTCCCACTTCTCTGCCTACCTGGGAGCTACCTAACCAGCATAGTACATTGTACGAATATTCAGCGTCCCCATCGGTATTTTTACCTCCATCGAAGGAAGACACATTGGCTAACTGACTGGCTTCACGAAGGCTTCCACCAGCCCACTGTGTGTCATTCCACCACGACGATTCCACAGGAAAATGAGTTTGTATATCATATTTTTAATATTTTTCTAGTGTGTTGAAGTTTCTGTAGCAATTGGCTGATTTTCCTGGGGATACGGTTGCTAGCCTCACACACCCAACTCCTCGACTCTTTCCTCGTAATTAGGACCACCTAGGAAACTGACGACCTAGTAGTAGACCAGGCGAGGATGTTCCATTCATTTGTGCAAGTCGTATTTATTGCAACTAAACTACGCATCAATAATGACAACTAAAACGTAGCGCATTTCTGTACTAAATTCAGAGATTTTGTTACCTTTACGGCTTATAACTGCCTATTTTTGTTGTTGTAGTCTACTTCGAGCCACATACATTTTCTTAGATACGTAGATTTTGTACATCGGCTTTACTGTCACACAAAATTCATATCGCAGTACTTCGTAACCACAGTGTGAACAAAACTAGTTTTGACCAAATATTAAAATTAATTATTAAATTGAAAATTCCACTTTTGATTATCACTTCAATAATTT